TACTAAAGCATAAATCTTAATCCTATCGAAAATATGTTTATACTCATTAGACAAATGCAGCAAATGCAAAGAAAACCCTTATTGCATGCTTAATATTCACTTTTAACAAATAGCTAACAATATTTTCTTGTGTCTGTCTGAGAGAACTTATGTTTTTTAATGCGAACGAACAGCAAACGAAGTAATGCTTTTGCGTTGATTATTACTATGTATTAGGGATTTTTATACGCTTCATTCGTTACACACCTACCTATTTAGCCCCAAATACGTGACTGTACCTTTTCGATTTCCGAGATTTCAATCGTTGAAACATTAATGTTTTGAGTGTTATTAAACGCAGGCATTAAATCCAAATTTGGCGTTCTTATTAAGAGGGGCATACGTTACTGCTATAAACGTTTCGGTGACGCAGCATGAGCACGTTTTTGTTACATGACATGACATTTTATGGGCCTTTCAGTGTGTCAGTGTCTCAATCAAGAAGGAGATTTGAGCGCACTGTTAAATAAAAACGTTCTAACTTTCTATAAGCTCCCCGAATACCCTATCCATCTTGACTTTCTGCAAAGGCATTTGTTTGTTTTTGAGTTAATATGGGTGAATTCATGTCCTTCAAACACCCGTGTGCGTCCGTTAAACGATAGCTTAAAATTCGTCTTTAGGCTATTTGGCTGTTACTAACCTAGAAAACGCATTGCAGATAGAATATATTAAAGTTCTTTCCAGCTACACGCACCTGTTATCATGTTTCAAGATGTAAGCTCTGTATATTTTACAACTCGTTTTCATTCTCCCGAAATATATACAGGCATGGTTTTATATTAAAAACGTCTTCCATGTTGAATATAAAGCAGAATTGTAAATTATATAGGCATAACTCTAAACTCTCTTGCACCACAAAGCCTTATTCGATTGGTTATCCCCGCAAGGCAGTTTTCATACCTCGCATTTGGAATGCCAATTCTGTCATGCGTGATAATGACTGAAAATGCTTCGTCAGTGCGATAATGCGGACTGTGGTGTCACGTTTAAACTTTTAGAATGGTAATTAAAGGCAATCGCATGACGATGTGTCACGTGCCGTCTACGTTATGGTCAGTCTATAGCCTTGGATACTGTTACTGACAACGATCATCTACCAAAACCTGGCCTTGAATGCCGAGACATTTCTTCGTCAGGATGTGATTTTGGTCTTGGTTTTTACTTCAGCGGCGTTATCTACTGCAACTTACTGCGCTGGCTGTCATAACGTCAACTAGGATGGTCGCACCAAACTGTCGAAATTTCAAATCTACGACATTAATGATTTAACTCTTATAGGCGGGCGAACCTTGTAAACTGTTCATTCTAGTTAACCAAATCAGGTCGCAAATACGACTCGCGATTACAAAAATAATCCGCCTAAGTCTTAAAATAGAAAAGCTCTATTTTTAGTTTAAAAGTTTCACGGAAAATTTGGTGGCTACGCACGTTCAGTTTCTGCAAAACAAAGGGTCTTCATAAGCCATCACGTTAATGGAGCTAAGTAAGTCTCTCAAGGTCATAAAAATAGCTTCATCAGGAAATTCCCAGATTTAAAAATTTAAACGCTAAAATAATTAACCCCAAAGTGTTGAAATGTATACCTGGGCTCCGCGGCAAAATCAACGATAGCTAACTTCCATTCGATGTCAATATCTGTGGATTGCAGATAGATTTTTGTATAAAATTTTGTAGAAGTTTAATCAAATCTCCCCCATTAAGGTCAACCTACAAATATGTTGGCTATCATTTCTAGTTTTATAAGAACAAAGGATTTTAAGAACCATACTAAGATTTGATATTCATAACCACATTAATGCGGCACAGTTACGTTTGGAGAACATTGAGAACAACTCTTGTAAGCCCATAAATCAGAAAAATATTTCAGAATTTTTGTAAACTTTTTAACATAAGATGTGGATAAGTCCTCTAGGAAGATATTGGTGGTTCTTCTTGTGACTAAAACCACTTCTTGATAGCAGTGTTCATATCATTCGTTATAGATACCCATCGTTTATACATGTCATTTTTCTGAAAAGATCTAATATATCATGATCTATACAAATGCCTTAACCCCAATTACCCTTACAAAACGATTTTTTCAAATGAATAGGTAATCGGAGATGATTATTTATAAGAAACCCGAAACGTTAGACATTTTGTTAATTCCCCAATTCTCTAAAAAGGTATGTCGTAGTTTTCACTTAATATCTCTCTGGGTAATTTCTTCCGGTTAAATCTTCCCAAAGGCAGGCGGAATTCAAAGTCACCCTATATTCCGGCAGTTCGACATGCAATTAGCTGTTCCAGCAGCTGGAAATGATATAGTTTACACATTCTTAGGTGTCTCGTTGCAAGGAGAGTAATTCCATCATGATAGATTAAGCAAACAAATCATGGAAGTGTCTGGTGCTTAGGCAGCCATTTTACTTTTTAAACATGTCGAAAGATGGTTTTTATGTGACCTAAATATCGTTCATTATGAACTTAGAAACGGAAGGGTCAGGGGATAAGCAGTTTGCGCAGTATTTTGCAATCTACATGGTTACTTCCTGTGCATTCGCAGTTGTTGATTTTAATGTAAACGGTCTGGGAAAGCCGACTATAAAAAATATTTTTTGATTGAACTCAAGTAGACGGAAAAATATACTAGTAAAGATATGCCATTAAACGTTAACCGGAATACTGAAATGTGTCCTCGATTAAAAAATTCCACTTAAATGGATCGTTCAGCATAATCCCAAGATATTTCAGGCACGTTGGGCTGCCGAACTATGAATAAGCTCTTTTCTGCACGGCCGACAACGTTTACACTATTAAAATGATTACTTGAATAGAATAAATGTTTCTTATTGCTTGTTAATACGTCTTCAAATTCAAGTATGTTTTCCACAAAACATGCGCCTTTATATTATTTCTAGGGCTAATTTATAACATCTTACACGTTCTTTACATTTGGACATCGCACGGTCTTAACAATCACATAATACGAAACTGTCAATCAAGGGAGCCAAAAATTACACTGAAGATAGACTTTGCCTGACTTAATTCAACTAGACAGGATGCTGCTCTAACGTATCTTTCGATACGCATTTTCCAGTCCGGCTAGTATAATCTCACCCATAAGGCCAGGTGAAGGCCTAGAGGTTCATTGCAATGGTCTTAATGGGCAGTTTATCTTTGCCTTCATGGTGATTAAACGGAGTACTTGAGAAACGTAGCTCTTGTCTTAGCTGTCGGGTATGGGCGCGCAGTATTCAAGTTAAGACAGGCTGGCAAAAAGTCGATGGCCGTATTCCCTCGAGACAGTTATGTGAGGAATAACGACCTCTTTTAACCAATATCACGTTTTTACTATTTATGCCCAAAGAAAGCGTAGATATAGTTTTTAATAAAATTACCAATTATGCGATTTTTAAGACCACGCAATGTCCATTCAAACAGCGTAGCACATCTCCGTTTACAACTGCTCCTTGTGAAACGTAAAAAATTGTCCACATCCACTACAAAATTCCATGAACTCAACATGGTATCGTCTCTAAGACATGGAGGAATATGTAATTTTTTATGCGGAAAGCATACATCCTGTAGACTGGAATCGCTAAATGGTAACGCAGCGGCTAATTTGGCCCAAAATATTCAGGAATTAAAGAACTTTTTTTCAGAAATTAAATAAACACTTTCTTCTGACATAAATATAAACACAATGCTTTTTTCTACCAAAGAAGTAAAAGGAAGCATATGTTTGTGCATGTTTTCCATAAAAATGTTTGAGTTTATATGACCATCGAAAATCAACGTGAAAATACGTGCTAATTATCTACTCATCTTTTACCACGTACAGCTTTTACGAGAGGTAAAAAAGAAGTGCATTCAAAAGCCGAAATCCTGTTAATTCTGAAATACTATGGGATTATGTCGCCTGACAAGTAACATTACAACCCCATTTAAGTAATCCTTCCTAATCAAAAACGCATTTTAGAGTATCGGCCAATATTTTATCAGATCGGTCACGCACCATACAGGCAAGTAGGTTAAAAGTACTGCTGCTATATTTTATGTGTCGTCGCATTAGCTATCGGTGGCAAAATGGCCTGACCGTTGTTTAGTTACTAGGCCTAAGCCTTATTAATCCCGAAAAAATATCCAACGATGTTTCATAGTCTTCCATATTCAAACACTACGCCCGCAATCGCCTTAGAATTTCGTTGGCGATCACCAAACGTTTCAGATGTTTGTTAAGCGAGGCATTAGTTTGTCATTTGTATCCTGAGCTAATGTAGAGAAAAATAATCCGACATCTGTCGACGGAGGATAACAGAAAGGAAGATATGTCTGATTGCAAACCTTTAACAAAGATGCTACTGGCATCAGAGCATGTAAAGTAATCAACACACTATTAACTACACTATGACTGGAGTTCCTTTAAGTGCTATTTGATTTTCGTTCCGTTAACTTCCCTTCCCTGTCAGCGATTTTTAAATTTATTTCAATTTTTTTTCCAAAACGGAAACGAAAGGTAAGGGGAGGTTCGTTTAAAGGAAGGGCGGTAGTATATTACCCTTAATTGGATTTTTCATCCACTGACCTTATCTTTTTCAGTCCATCTATGATTTGCTCCCGCATATAAGCAGTGCTTTTGTTCACTTGACACTTAGACTTCATTACCATAAATACAAGTTAATACTTTCATCAAAGAAGACCTTAACCTCCTAATCACTGTTGCCGCCCCGGGCAAGAACGTCTTCGTGCAGAACAAATGGGGTCGACTTGGGGAAACATTCTAGGCGACGGCCCTGACTGTCCTCGTTCGTGCACGCCACCAACACCAGGACTGGTTTGACGACAACGACGCCGCCGTTAGCAACCTGCTCGCCTAGAAAAACCGCCTGCACAAAGTCTACGTCAGCCACCCCACAGACGACAACAAAGCTACTTTCTACCATAGTCTCTACCTTGTGCAACAGCGGCTGAGCGAGATGCAGGATACATGGGCGGCTAGCAAGGCCGAGGAAACCCAAGGGTACGCAGACCACATTGAATCGAAAAACTTCGCGATCAAGGCTGCTACGGTCTGCCAGCAAAGGGGAATCTTCCTCTTCTCAACGTCGGCGAAAGCATTCTACTCACCCAGAAGAAACAAATCCTTCAGCGACGGGCCGAACACTTCAGGGGCGTCCTCAACCGTTCCTCCATTATCTCCGAAGTCACCATAACTCGTCTGCCTCAAGTGGAGACCAACGCTGACCTCGACCTCTCGTCCTCTCTCTACAAAACCATCTGGGCCATACAGCAACTCCACAGCGAGAAAGTGCTCGGATCGGACGCGATCCCTACTGAGATCTACAAGTACGGTTATCTTCAACTCATGGAAAACCTGTCCGCGTTCTTCTAGCAGATTTAGTGTCAAGTCCCGCAGAATTGCAAAGAACGAGACAATCGTGCATCTATACAAGCGGGTAGGAAACCGCCAAATCCGCGAACCCCACTGAGGCATCTCCCTGCTAAAAATCGCTGGTAAAATCTTCCCTCGCATCCTTCTCAACTGTCTGAGCAACCATCTAGAACAACCTCTCTTGCCGGAAAGCTAGTGTGGCTTCCGCCGTCATCATGTAACCATGGACATGATCTATGGCGCCGCCCAACTGCAAAAGAAGTGCCAGGTGATGCGGACCAATATGTACTCTACCTACGTGGATCTGACGGAAGCCTTTTACACTGTGAATCGCCAAGGACTGTGGAAAGTCATGCAGAAATTCGGCTGTTCCGAACGATTCACTCAGATTGTGCATAATCTCCACAATAGCATAAGGACGCTCGTCACGGACATTGAAGCTGTCTCCGAGGCATTCGCAGTAACAAACGAGTGTAGCAGGGTTGTGTCCTTGCGCCTACCGTCTTCAGGCTCATGTTCTCTGTCATACTGATGGACGTCTACGGTGATGAACGTCCTCGGATCCGCATCGCCTACAGGACGGGCGGTCAACTGCGGTCACACACTAAGCACCACCCCGAATTGCCAACAATGCGCCGCAAATCAGCGTGAACGGAACCCAACTGCAAATGATGGACAACTTTACGTATCTGGGCAGCACCCTCTACCGCAGCACCAGAATCGACGATGAAGTGGCTCACAGGATTGCCGAGGCCAGTCAAGACTTCGGTCGTCTTCAAAACACAGTTTGGAATCGTCACGGTCTTTAGCTCAGCACGAAACTGAAGATTACAAGGCTGACATACTACCAGCGTTGCTGTGTGGACGGTATACATGAAGCAGGAACGCCGACTCAACCTCCTATACCTCAGTTGTCTTCGTCGAATACTGAATTCGAGGTGGCATAACTGCGTACCGACACGGAGGTTCTGGAGCCGAACGGAATCCTCAGAATCTACGCCATGCTTAGACAACTGCAGTTGCGCCGGAACGACGTTGGGCGTTGAGTTGTATTGGACGACGGAGGGCTACCCAAAGGACTCTTCTTTGGAGATGTCGCCACGGGTCCCCGCCGCCAAGGAGATCGAGTCCGTCAATACAAAGACACTCAGAATACCTTCCTAAAGCTTCTCTAGATTGACCCGGGCGACTGGGAAAACTTCACCCGAGACTGACCGACCTGAAGGAGGACAATGAGGACGGGATCAGTGATTTTAGGAGCCATACGCATCCCCGACGTGAAAGCAAAACGTTGGGTTCTTAAATCTCAACTGCACACACCTCGCAACGTCAACGTCCATCCGTCTTTAACGTGTCCAAGATGTCCTTGGAGATTCCGGACGACAAGTGAACTTGTTTGACACCTCCGGGCCAACTGCAGCATGCGGGCTGCACCATCCGTCGTCCTCCCTACACCTACCCCTCGCCCCCCCACGACATCGATGAACGTTGATCGTCCTCTCGAACCACCATTATCATCCTACTCCTCCTCCTCTTCCCTTACCGCCACTTTACTGTTCGCTGCTATGGCGTCTGTCGTGCCCATCAGCACTTCATAAAATCCTGAGGCACCAACGAACACCAACACCACTACTTTCATTGCCATTTGTGTGGAGCTAGTCTATACCTGTCCTCATTGCGATCGCACCTGCACCTCACGCATCGGCCTGCTCGGTCACTTGCGAATCCGCCGCAAAAAGACTGGCGAACCAGTGCCAGGAGTCTCAACTTAC